GCATTTTGCCTTCTAATGTTTTGTATGGGTTGAGTTATTCCCAGAGTGTCAGAAGTGTGTGTTAATAATAGTTATGTGACAGTGAGAAACTCAGGCTGTGGGGAGTAAAGTTGGGCTGTGTGCCAAATTTTCCAAAAGCAGTAATGTGGTTTTCCTAGTTAAAGTTGTCAAAGCAGCAAACAAATGTCTGCACACACCTCCTTGAGCGGCCAGCGTTTACACCCATCCAGCCGTGACTGGAATGGAAGTCTGCTTTGCACTGCGTCCAGCTGAATCAATGAACTTGGTGTCTTTTGAATGGGGAAAGATATTCTGCGTTATAAAGAGCTTGACTCAGGCCCTCATTTCATATTTAGCTTTGAGAGGCTTTCGGTGGCACAGACTCCCCCTCGGAGAGAACAGTGGCCAACATTTAGCTGAAGAGGCCAAGTTCAGGAGAACTTCAGAATCAAGTCAGCTGCAGAAAGTTGTTTGGTTTTAATCGTGTTGCAGCCAGCCCCAGATCATGCAGACTCTTGAGCACACTTCAAAGCTCCGCACCACCATGATGGCTCTCTCAGCCCATTCTTTGGACATCACCGTCAGAAGTTTACTATCTGCCGGTACCCCTCAACCTGATCTGTTTTGTTCCAGCCAAGGGGATTATACCCAGCACCTTGGGATTAAACCTCTCCCTGTGTGTGAGGTTATCCACTTTCCGGCTGTTATGTATATTATGAGCTCTGAGAGTCTGGGCTGAGTGTATATGTCCTCTGGTTAGGCTGGCTGACCCGGGCCGGGACAGTTAATGAGCGAGGTCGCAGCTTCTCTTGTTTCAGCCTTGAGTGGGATTCACCGCCTACACACACCACAACCCACAGGGGGGTCTTCATCACCCCACACAATTGATCTGTACTCTCTAGAAGCTGAAACCTCCTTGCCACATGCTAGTTCCTCTGCTGTTTCTCTCTGTGTTTGCCCGTGGCTCATCGTGAACTCTGACTCCTTAATCACAGTTAAATGCTGTGAGAGCTGGGAAGAGAGAGACTACTGGGTAAAGTTTGAGAACCTCTGTGTAGGAGAGAGACAGCGGGATAATGGGCTTTGCTCTCAATGTGCTGAGGCCTCTAACTGGAAGCTAAAGGAGGTTTAAATCTTCAAATGGTAACATTTGTTGAGCTCCTAAGCGCCAGAAAAAGCCTGCAAATTAAGCGTTAGATAGATTTTGGTTTATTTCTGTTTTCCTCTGCCGCTCTGGGTAGTTTTTTTTTTAGTTATACATGTAGGAATATAAAAACACTCTTAATGTTGTCAAGATTTGAAGCTGAAACCAGAGGTGGTGATGCCTCCAGTTATTTAGGCACTGCCTGTTTTTGTGCAGCGCTGAGTGAGCACTGTTGAGCTGAGGGAGCTCTGATGAGTGCTTATAGAGTGCTAAACCAAGTTGCAGCTAAACTGCTCATCCATTACCTCGGCCGCCCGCACACCCCTCAGATTTAATGTGCTAGGGTCGTTTGCGTGGCAGCAGCTCAACCTTCAGGGAACTCATTCATGCCGGACTGGAGGCCAGAAGCACATTAGATCAAATCAATGTGATCCCTGTAATGTGGCCTCTAGTCTGCCTGACCACAGAAGCAATACAGCACTAGCCCAGCGTTTCAGGACCCCCATCAGGGCAGACCTGTCTGTATCAGGGTTGGCCTGATCATCTTCCTGCTGTGCACCTGGAAAAACAAGCTTCAGTGCCGACTATGAAGCAGGGTTCATTAAGCTCCCGCTCTGGCTGATCACAGCTCTGGCAAAGCGAGCATACAAGGAGGGAACGTTGTGTCTCTACATTTTCAACTGAGCCTGCTATGATGCAAGAATCAATAGTGAAATATTCAGCGTCCTGGATGCTGTGCCGGCCCGGGTCTGATCTCAAGCTGAGCTTTTATACGAGGCAATACTGCTGCTGCTAGAAATAAGCACATACCAATCATTTAAATCAACACTAGATACTATAAAGAACAATTACCCTGGTGCGACTGAAGACTGCCTACTAACGTCGCTCAGGGCCCATTGCTCTTCACATAAAAACTGGTTGAATGTGGGGTGCCACTTAGTAGTTTGACTGAGATATTTACATTAACCCATGTAAAGTAGCTAGGTTGTATAGCTTAACCAATGTGCCTGCCAATATCATAATACCAATTGACCAATGGGAAGACTAATTTTCTTTTTAATTGTTAATGAGGAATGGCACCTGGGGTCTGCATCACAGAGGATTAGTATTGTCTCTCCCACCAAATTAAAGCTTTCTACACTTCGACTCCAAGTTCAATATTAGTCTGTTTAGAAAAAATGTATTGAAGTTTACAAAAAAAAAAATGTGTTTGTCAGCAGCACCTTAAGATTTTTTTCCCACTTCCTGTTTTGACAGCTAATGTTGCATCTCAGAAAGGTGTTAAAACATCGGTAACAAAGCGTTCCTCGTACTTAGTCTTCGATCCTCTTCGTTCTTTTTTTAAATCCCAGGGAGGTGTGAACAGCTTGCACATTTGCTTCCCTTTTTGCAGATTAAATGCAGGTTTTGTTCATGTCTTTCTTTATCAGTAAACCTTACACATAGTCATGTAGATCAGGGTCACAGAATGTATCTTCTACAATTTGTGAGTGACAGAACTATATTTTAATTTTGCACTTGTTTGATAATTTCTACTTGATGGTTATGCAGATTTTTAGTCACTTCACACACCAAGAATAAGATAAAGCACACGAAGCAGCATTAATATGCTAATGTAATCTAATGATTGATGTCTAATGTCGGTAAGGCTGCTTGTTTCACTGGAAGTTAACCCAACTCCACACAACTTTCAGCCTTTTAACATTTTGTTATGACTTGTTTTACCATTTGATTATAATTGTAAAGATAAGTAGATTAATTGATAAATGCAACTATTTTGTTAATAAAAAAATAAAAAAGACAAATGCAGTGTTTGTTAACCTGAATTGCTTTGTGTTTGAAACGTTTGAATATTTTCTTCACATTTTATACACCACACTGGAGAAAATGCTGCTCCAAAAACATGTTAAACAATAATGAAAACTAGCTGTTTTCACTTGAAATAAGCACAAAAATCTGCCAATAGAACAAGTGAAATGTTGCTTTGTAAGATTTCTTGAAATAAAATGGGATATTTAGATAAATTAGATCTTGTAATTAGCTGCGAGAACTCATTTTGAACTATATTTGACCAGAATCAGGAAATGTTTATTCACAATATAAGCCGCAAATGCTCAAAAGTGTTCTGTTTTCTGATGTTAGTTGGTGATTTCTAATACATTTGTAAAAAAACATGTTTCATCTGAGATACAACTCAAAATAAGATTTGTTGACTTATCAAGATGATGCATTGTCTAAAAACAAGACCCGATATCTCACTGCAGTGTTACTTCTGAAGTTATTATGTCTTCAGGTGTAAAAACATGACTAGATATTAGACAGATATACTTGACAAGATTTTAATTTTTTGTAGTGCAAATCATCAAGACAGAAATAAGCTCAACAATTATCAAGTTCTAGACTTCTTTTTTTTTCAACAAACTACTTTGGCTTAACCTGTTTTATGTTAATTAGCTAAAGTGACCTGCGAATGTAGGAAAGCATTTGAGAGATCTATCTCAGTCTAACTTTGGTTCAAAGACGTAAAACAGGACAGAAAATCAAGTATGTGAAAATCCATTGTTTTATTATTTTTTATATTGTTTTTATAGACAGATCCAATGCTTACCAATTTGCAAAGCCACTGAACTGTTTATCCTGCGTGATGTTTTTCCAGTCAGAAGCACTCTTTCATAACTTCTCTATGGTATTAATCTGTCGGGTTACAATTTGATTCATGTTTTGGGAGAATATTGACAGGTGATATACTTTTTTTAATGCAGTGTTTGTTGCTGGCTGTAGATATTTGTTTCAAAGAAGCTTTGCACATATACCGGAGGAGTGTCTAAAGATTTGAAACAGAACCTCACTGAAGTCTCATTTAGATTTCTGGCTCAGCTTCTCTCTGTGTGGAGCTTGCATGTTCTTCCTGTGTGTACATTTCTGTGAAAGTGTGAAAGCGATTGTGGTATGATGTCAGATCCGTGATGGATAGCAACCTGTTCCTCTGCTTTTCGCTTAGTGCGTGCATGGATGCACTCCTGATTGATATGACCCTGAGCAGGAATACAGACAGTAAATGGATTTAATGGATATAGCTTGTAATATTAAATATTTATTCAATACTTTTTAAAAAACAACAATTCATACTATCCACTTTTTTTACTTCACACTTCCTGTGGCTCTCAGCCTAAAGCCATTGATTTACGAGGAGGTATGTTCTAGGTTTATGAATAAACATGTTTTTTTGTGTTGTTATTAGTTTTAATTCTCGATGATTTTGGATGGCTTAAATAGCTGGACACTGCTACTTCTAGTACTCAAACAGGAGAATTCAGTTTATTTGTTGATGCACTAGTGTGTATTTAACTACAGCAGCACAATGGTGAATGTGGGATTGACTCAAAAATAAACTACAGAGCCCATGTTCTTGGTAATGAAGAAACATATTTCCCAGTGCAGCAGTGGGGCTCATCGATGTGTTTATAATAGTTTTTTGATGACAATCAAGCTCTAGTATTTGAGCACAGAGAAAAAGTTACAACATGCTTTAAATTCAAATACAGTATAGTTAGAATCAATTCATTAGTGGCATATCTTCACTGAACAAATAATACAAATGTCATACCATATTAATAAAATAAGCATGAGCTGAATATGAATGTCAACAGTCACAAGCGTCTTGAAAACTGTCTGAAAGTTTTCACAGGGATAAATAATATGCTTTCCAAAACATTCACTATTAATGTATAACTATTAATACATGTACTTAATTTATGAGTAATTATTAATTGCTTGCATTACAGGACTTCAACATTTTCCCGACAACAATTGCGGGGGAATAATCCTCTTTTGTTTTGTCGCTCAGCTCTGTCTAATGCCACTTCTCTGTGTGTCTGCAGGCTGTGAGAGTGACTACTGGGGACCTCATTGCAGTAGTCGGTGCCAGTGCCAGAATGGAGCTAAGTGTAACCCCATCACAGGTGCCTGTGTCTGCACTGATGGGTACCAGGGATGGCGATGTGAGGAGTTCTGTGAGCACGGCTACTACGGCAAGGCCTGCCAACTTCCCTGCCAGTGTCTCAACGGTGCCACCTGCAACCACGAGACAGGAGAGTGCATCTGTGCACCGGGCTACTCGGGGGCTTTGTGAGTACCAGCAACATATTTATTCCTTTGCAACTCTCTCTTTGGTGTCTACAAAATAAATGTTAATGCTGCGTTTGTTGTTTGTCTGAGCGTGCTTTGTTGATACAAAGAACTGCAGGCAGAACCCAAGTTTTGTGTCTGACTTGTTTGACTATTGACATGTGGTGACAGCTGTGGAGAGCGCTGCCCCTCCGGTAGTCACGGGCCTCAGTGTGAGCAGCGCTGCCCCTGTCAGAACGGAGGAATGTGCCACCACATCACTGGAGACTGTTCCTGCCCCACCGGCTGGACGGTAGGTCACACCTAAGGAGGGCAATATTTAAAAAGAAAAGAAACTAAATGTTGTTGGTGTTCCTGGGAAAAAAAACGTTTATAACTCTTTACTGCAGAGACTGACATGTTGAGAACATGGACCTCAGGATCAATAGGTTGTGTTCAATTATAAATGAGAACGTGGGATTCTCTTCCCCCTGCTAGAGAACAAATAATTGGAGTGCCTGGTGGGGAGGTTGTGCTTGCTTTCTCAAACCACAGATCAAAGAGTCATGTCAAGTGAACATGGCCACCCACAGTCAACAATATAGAGTATGTCTTTAGGGACGTCCCACTGGCCAAGGGTTTTAAGGCAACAATCCCGGTTGGATTAAAGCTGGGATCCTTTGTTGCATGACATCTTGCTTGCACTCTCCCCGCATTTCGTTTCCACTGTAAACTATTGAATAAATGCAATCAAGAAAAATGTAAACCTTTTAAAAGAATTGAATGCATTAAAAAAAGCAATACCTGGTTAGATTTGTAGCATTCCTTCGAATAAGCAGAGGAAGATAAATTCTTCTTTTGTGCCATAAATGGTTGTCTATATGTATCGTGATGTCATATATTTTCTGGAAATTCAATTGAGAAAACTGATTGCATATGAAATAACCAGATATGAAAGTGGGTTTTCGGCTAATGTAGAGAATTAAGTACCTTACAAATTGAGGTACTTCATCACATTTATTCCAACTTTTTTTCTTTTAAATCCAATTTTGCTGTAGAGCCTTCCTGCTCATCGATGTGCAAACAGCCCACATTACCTAAAGCAAGCAGAGATTTAAAGGGGCAGACACCATAATATAAACTGTATCATAAAAAGTCTGATTTATATTTTTTCATGCTTTTTATCGTCCTCTTATCCAACCACACTGATTAAATCAGTAATTTGCCAATAAAGAGACTATTGTTTGTTAAATAGTCAAATAAAATAAAAAATCTCCAATGCCGGTGTAAATGTTATTCCGTCCATCAGTTCAGACGGTGTTGTCAATTTATGTTATGTCTTTAATGTTTTACTATATTTTATAAATAGCAGGATATAAGGATATGGCGGAAACATTAACAATATGTCTAAACCAGGGGTGTCAAACTCAAGGCCCGGGGGCCAAATCCGGCCTGTGACTTCATTTTCTGTGGCCCCACAAGAGCTTGCAAAGAATATTATATGTTTATTATACGGTTACCTGATAATTTACAGAAGCACGTTGCCCATAAACTACATGTCCCACAATGCGTCTCAAATTAGACTTTTTTTTTCTCATAATATGACTTTTTTTTCTTCTAAATATGCCTTTTTTCTCAGAATTTGACCTTTTCTCAGAATTTGACTCTTTTTTTTAAATGTTACTTTTTTTTCGAAATGTTACTTTTTTTTAAATGTCACTTCTTTTTTTTATTTCGACTTTTTTTTCCAGAATTTGGCTTTTCTTTAAATCATTTTGTGACATTCTCACTGAAGAGACTTGCAATTATTTGCCCCAGTCTTCTGCTTTCAGACGTTGTTAATTATGAAGTTATTTCCCTATCTGATAATAATCCAATGCAGAGGCAATAATGTAATATAATACATTATTTTATATATATATTTATATATGTATTTTTATATAGTCTTAAAGTTACAACCGGCCCTTTGAGTGCAGCCCTAATGCTGATTTGGCCCGCGATTAAATTGAGTTTGACACCCCTGGTCTAAACTGTCCAAAAATCAGTAATAGTTGAGGGCTTTCAGTCCAGACAAAGTAGTGAGGGATGTATTTCATATGGTTCTTTGCCGTCTGTTTTTCAAAGGGTTCAGTTTGTGCCCAGCCGTGCCCTCTTGGCAAGTACGGCATGAACTGCAGCAAAGACTGTTCCTGTCGTAATGGAGGGCTGTGCAGCCACGTCACGGGGCAGTGCCAGTGCGCAGCGGGCTTCAGCGGACGCAGGTACGCAGCTCATACCTCTGCCAGACAGACTGCTGAAATATTGCACATAAAAGCCTTTTGTGAAGTACAAACTTTTGTACTCCTACTTTGAAAATAGGTCAGACAATGGCATGATTTATTGATATAAGTACTTAATGCAACGGATGGTTTCATGCCGACAGTTAAACAGTCACTCATTGACCTATTCTCTTTGTTGACGTACCAATGAGGCACAAACCTGGCTGTTCTTTAGAAAGAGAAAGGAATTGCAAGAAGAATATCGCACTCATGAGAAAGAGGCATTTATTAATGCCTATTAGTCCATTTGAAGGAGGATTGTAAGCTTTTAATGGGGATGTTTATGTTTAATTAATCTTATACTCCATGCTTGCCTGCAAGGTTTCCTTCATCCTCTTCCACTCCCAGCCTGACCATTGATCTCACCATGAGCTACATGCTGTTTTGATTCTGCTCATTAATTATAAGTAATGGGCTTATATTAAGGTCTCATTGAAATCCACAGATCTTTTTAGTTCCCCCTGCCTGCCAGAGCAGCCCAGAGCAGCACAGGTTTATTAGTTCAGCTAAAGCAATTGTCTCTTGGATGGAAACACTTCCTCGACAGGACCTTTACTTTCCTTTTATTATTTTGCTAAATTGCCCTCATTCATTTAGTCAGTGGCAGGTGAATTAACCTGCCAGGAATAATCTGAGATTGTGTTAGCCCCCCACCCTCTCTTGTCTAGTTTAATAATACCATTGTCCCCGGATAAAACTGAAGCTGGGGTAATTTAAACATGAACATAACTCGCCCATTTTGTAATGCAATTGAGCTATTTGTAATAGCTTTGTTAGACTCTTGAGATTGAAACTCCCCCAGGATTGTATAGTTAAGTCAGTATATTTAAGTGAAGACAAAACCCTACTTCAGTTCTTCATGTGGAGAAACTCATTGACTCTGTTCATGACGTTTAAGTCTTGTCCGACTAATGTTGAACATTCCTGGCTGCTGACGGCAAGGGGCTCCTTCTCGGGCTTCCCTGTTATGTACTCGCTCAAATTAAGCTTTCAGTGTTGTGTTTCAATGCTTTTAGATCAAATATTCATAATTAAAATCTGGAAATATAAATACTATAATGTTTTATAAATTACAGTAGTAGCTGATGCATGTCATTCCTTAATCAAATAGCCACTATTTTGAAATACATTTTTAAGAAAGTGTTCAATTACAGTTATCATTCATTCTTTCCCTTCAAAACATTTCAGTCAGACAACTCACGTGTTCTAATATGTTTATTATAAGCAGGATATAGTTTGAGTTTGGCGTCTAGGCTCGGGCCTCATCACTCCACAGATTTACAAAGAACATTGAGTGATGATTAGATAACTATCCCCCGAGCCTACAGGTGGAAGCTGGGGTGGTGGTGGGGCAGGCGAGCAGTAGTAACATGAAACACAGCAGCAGGAACATGAACGTAGCAATAGCAAGTGAACACAGCAGTGATAGCAGCAGCAGCATAGCGAGGAGGCAGAGGCAGGAAGACCTGGCAGCTTAAATAGAGCGGCATGTTTAGGAGAATGTGTTTGGTTGGTTGTAAGAGGGACGAGGTGCATCACGTGTTAATGTATCATTGGTGCTCGAGTTGACTGCCTGAACTATTGTTAGAACAATAACAAATGTATCCTAAATGGGATATCATATGTTTAGTCCATTTTAACATTTAAGTTGTGATAAGATGCAAGTTGTAGATTGTGCAGCAGTAAGAGCAGTGTTGGTATAACAAAAGCGGCAATAACACCACAACTAATATTACATTTGATTCATCATGTCTTTCACCTCGTCTCTTTAATTATATATAAAATATGTACCTTGGCTAGCAACTGTTGCTTCTTCCCCTGTTGACTAATCCTTTAGTTAGTTTATTGATTAATTGCAGTGCATGTGAAAACAATTTCAAAATGTAGTCCAAGGGGATGTCAGACTAAACAAATGACTTGTTTTGTCTGACCAACAGTGGCAAAAAGTATATGCTACAGTATATCATTTTTAAAATAGAACTATCAAGTAAAGCATATAAACAAATCATTTTTTTATCCGATTGCTTTTGATTCATTTGATGCTGTCAATCAACTGTTTCATTAATCAACCTTTTTTTTTTTAACCTTGATTCTACTAACCACAATTCACTGTAATTGTTTATAATCTACTTTTAGAGCAGTGATTTTAATTTGTTCCTTACAGGTGCCAGGATGACTGTCCTGTGGGCACCTTTGGTCCGCAGTGTAACCAGAGGTGCGAGTGTCAGAACGGAGCCAAATGTCACCATATCAATGGAGCCTGTCTGTGTGAAACTGGCTTTAAAGGCCCTAATTGCCAAGAGAGATTCTGTCCTCCTGGCCTCTACGGCCTCATCTGTGACAAGTACTGCCCCTGTAATACCACCAACACTGTGAGGTAAGAGAGACATCACTGCAAGGTGTCACACTCTGACCAAGCACTGAAATGAAGACCTTTATGAATTAAGACTTTTCCAACTCAATTTTGCCTCTTCTTAGCTCTAAGCCAGCTCTCATTTTGAAGTCTGGACACCTCTTAGCCATGTCATCCAGTTAGCCTTTAATCGCGTCCTTTGCTTCATTCATAATTTCTCAGCAGCATTCATAGTTAATGCAATGTTAATGCTCTGATTCCGGCTGGAGTTGGGCGCCGACCGTAGAAGTCATTACAGAAAGAGGGAGAAAGCCTCATCTATATGGAACAAGCACGTAGACTCAAAGATGGATGAAATGCTGCTGGGGCATACTTCATAATTTGACCCTGCTGAGGATGGAAGTCTTGATACTCTACGAACTGAAACTTTGCCTCACACTTCCTGTGGTTGTCCCATCTTTCTTTCTCATTATGTTGTAGCTGCCACCCGCTCTCTGGTGAATGCACCTGCTCTGCGGGATGGACAGGACTTTACTGTAATGAGACCTGCTCTCCGGGATACTTCGGAGAGGGATGCATGTCGCCTTGTAGCTGCACCAACGGTGCCGACTGCCATCCTGTCATAGGCACCTGTATATGTGCCCCTGGGTTCATGGTGAGTGGCATATTTCCTCATTGCTATTTAATTATACCAAGGTCATTGGCCTCTATCCCAGGAATGTTTTATTGTTATTTCAGATGTTTTATTGTTATATAATTCAACCTTTAATTTGTCTCATGACATATAAATGACCTTTTGGAGACTGACAACGTCTGAAGAAGCTTAGCATAATTATTTACAAAAAAGTAGCAAATGTTTACTGAAGAGAAAAATAGTTGGGCAAAGGAGAAAGAAAATAAAAAGATATAACTTAAAATGTATTAAAACACTTTGACAAGAAGGAATAGAGGACAAATCAATACACAAAAGTATTACTATTAGAACAACTGTCCTTGATATACAACTAAATGTGACTTATTATTATGACTTCCTTATATTACAAGTTGTAATTATATTGTTGGTTATGCTAATTGTTCATAAAACTGCCATAGGTTAATTGGCATTGTAACTTTGCTTGTTGTTACCTTTGTTATACTAGTTTCATTCAATAATAAAGGTAAAAGCAGGTCTGTGTTGTGTCTATAATATAGCTCTTTATTGATAAGGTTGTTGCTATGATTTATATTTCATGTTATTTGTGGCCGTATTAAAATGTTTGCGTCATTGTGGTCGTAATGCTCTGGAAGTGGTCCCGGTATTACTTTAGAGGCTTTTTGTACGCAGGCAGGCACAAGCAAGGTGAGATATTTTATTATTGCCTTATTATGGATGTGCTGTACTGCACCATGAGAAATTCTAAATGAATCATTCTCTGGTCCAGCCTTTAGCAGACATTAATGATCAGTCGTGTGTATTTTACAAAAAAGGTTTATACGCCTAAACTTGTGACATCAGAGAGACAAGTCGAGATATACCTTACAACTATGTCCCTGCACCAATTGGGAGAAAATTGAAACTTTGACCTATATACCTTTCCAGTTTTTTCTGCAGCCATGTTATCCCTTTTTACAACTGTCGAATTAGTTGGGCAACTTCAATCAGTTTTCCTATTGTATTTCTCGTCCGGCAATCTGGAGTTACAGAGCAACAAAGACAGAGAAGGTACATTTCTGCCAACATTACATTTCAGTGGAAATTGCCTGTGTCTTACAGCGGGACACTGTGGTGAAATGAGCTGCCGAGCGGGGCCGCAGACTGTGTCTTAATTTGCTCCACCTGTTCTCTTTGGCGGCTGCTGGGAAGAGCTGCCAGATCCATTAAACAGACCTAGAGGGCAGGAGCTGGATAGGAAAGGAGGCAGTCAGATGGGAACAGACACACATCATATGGTGGATTGGTGTGTTTGTGTGTGTGTAGGAGTGAGAGAGAGTGAGGGAGGGATACTGTGATGCCAGAGCTGCTGCTGCTGCTTTATTAGAAAGTTAGAGCTAAGAATGTTTGTCTTACCTGCGTGTTTAACTGTGTGACACCTGATCATTATCACGCAGTGGAGCTTTTTAAACATGATTGATGATGGCGTTGGGGTTGTGATTGCTGGTAGAGTCACTTCCTCAGGGGACCGCCGATAGGACTTAGTCTCCCTGCTGCATCTTTGTTCTGGAGTCCCATCGGGGGACAAACCAAGCAAAGTGTTGGAGCAGACCGAGCTTCTGCACGCTTGATTTAGCTCTAGTAATTGGACATGCTCTTTTTGACTTGGACAAAGTGATTACATGTTACCTATTCAGGCATTGTCCCTTGCAATTTATAGCAGATACTCGTAGCAACAATTTTTCTCCCAGATATGTCTGCAGTTTTTTACAGATTTGGTTGATACTGCTGTTTCTGAAATATGAACGCATTAGGAATGGATTCCTGTCTGCCTTTGTAGGTGGCGAAAACAAATCATTTTCCTATCTCTCAGGGCTTTCCAGCCTCATCAAAAGGTTCAGAGGTTCATTTTCTGTCTTGCTGCATGAATTTTAAACTGCAGTCACTCATCCAGCAGTTAGATGGACTGCTAAGGAGTGAGACTGATTGGTAATTAGTGGTGCCATTTGCATCTAGTCTCAATGGGTACCAGGCTGATCAATGTTGTGTCAGTGAGAGGCTTTCTGGAAAAAGTGCTCTCCAATTACATTAAGATACTAATAGGTATGAATTTAGTGCCTTGACCAAGGACGACCTGGCTGCCTCTCAGCGGCTCAGGTCTGGTTGCAGCCTCCACTGGATGTGTAGTTACGTAAGGTCCTGCTGCTCTCGTGCGATGGACGGACAGCCCGTGTATTAATAATGATTCTCCACATACAGACTTCTATCCTTCGCCGCTCAGAAGGAATATGAATCAGTCGACTAATGAGAGGGCTGCCGTTCCCCTCCTGAGAGCAGACCAACCACTGCTCTCAGCGCCATGTGGGTGAACCCAAGTGGAATCGGACGCAGCCGAGGATGCAGCAAAATCCATGTGGTCATTTGTGGCGGCATGACGTTTTATCCATGAGTCCAGTCACCAGTAAATTGCCTGCGCTCTGAAGACAGGTTGAACCCCCCCCCCCCCTTCCGGCCCCCACTGACTGGTCGAACTCTTCTCCACACTTAACAACTGTAACTGGACTGCTATTGTTAGCAGTCTTGAAGCTGTAATTTTCAACAGAACAAAGGGTATTGCATCCGATTGATACATTTTTTTATTCACAGACAGGCGCTTTTGTGTGCTGTTCGGGGAGAAGAGATGTTTTAAGATGTGTGTTCTGCCCCTGGCGTCCACTGGCACATCTTCTCCTGACTCCTGTTTTAAACTGAGTTCAAAATGATAATGAGAGCAGTGAGCAGCCAGCAGTCCCCCAGTGCTCTGGTGAGCAAAGCAAGAGCCACTCAGGACTCCTCTGGGCCACTAATTGGAACTCTAAATCATTGTGTCACCTGTCACTCAAGGCAGGCTGTAAAAGGCAGGCTGTGGGAATCCATAGACTGTCTGTGATCTCCAGCTTAGGGAGGGACGAGACGAGTGAAGGTGGGCTGTGCTCGGCTTTTAAAGCAGAGAAATTCTAATGACAGCGAGCTGCAGAGGACAGGGGAAGAGCACTGCATGTCCTTTACCAGAATAGTTCACCTTTATGCAACGGTAAGGGGCTTAAAGGCTGCGCCAACATGGCTGCCGATCTTCCATCAGTGTGGTTATTGATTGAAGATTGAGAGTTGGCTGCAGTTTCCAGGATCCTGCTGTTCCCCTGTCCTTCCTGTTCACCACCTTGGGGTTTATTTGTTTGGTTTTGGCTCTTCCTCACTTTGGTGTCGACTTTCTTTTATGTACTGTTGGCTAGAGACGGATGTTGACAACCATGCTTGTTTTGATATTCATGGTGTGGCCAGCTGCTTCAGCACTGGAGTGTTTACAGTATTCTTCTCTGATCCCAAACCATTTTGTGCTTGTGCCTCCACCAACCTGTAGTCTATAATTTGCGGAGAAGGACATGATAACCACATGCTGTCAGTGGTGTGAAAAATGGTTCTCTGGTCTTGAGAACTGCATAACTTCACCCTTGATTTTAATTCTGCTTGATGGCCCCACTCCCTCGGGTTAACAAAATCCTAAAACCAGTTTTCACATTTTGTGTTGCATATTCCAAAAGGCGTTGGAATCAGAAATTAGAATTTAGAATACCTTTATCAGAGAGGAAATGTACAATGTGACAGCAAAAGTAAATACTAATTAAGATTCATGCATAAAATATTAGAGATATGAATTACACAAATTACACCCAGTAGTAGTAGTAAGTAAGTATCCATCGAGGTGGAGAGCAATAACTACAGTAGCAGTATTATTTAATAAGTGTAGCATGTAGAAGTACTGTGATCCAAAGCCAGAACAACATGTTTTTTTTAACTATTTAAGAAACACTATTCAGTGTTGTATGAACTAATGGCAGGTGGACAAAAGGGAGGGTTTAGTAGGAGTCTGGATTTTCTTGCTTTAGAGTCCTGTCAGTCTCCCTGCTGATGGAAATGGAGGACCCCCCCTCCCCCCGCCCCCCATGAGACAAACCATAAGGGGAATATATATGGAGTGAGACTTGGAGAGATGGGACGTATTATGGTTTTAAAAAGGCAGAGCGTGGCCGGAGAAGGTGCAGTCTGAATACATATAGCATAATTGGAAGCTGTGAGGTGACAGCTTCAGGTGGGCCTTCCTCTTGAACTTTACTTACCATCATAAATCAATTCAGATTTACAGTTGCTTTGCTCCTCATTTTGTCTAATGGTACAGTATGACTGGTCTAAATAAACAGTTTAGTAAGCTATGAATAAGTGCCGGAAACCTTTCCTGTTTTTCTGTCTGCCTCTATTCACACTTTATTACTCCTATTTCTGGTCTGCCAGTCAGCATTTAATGCCATGCGGATTCTTTGCCTCATGACTTTGCATTATTTCTACCTCAGGGTGAGGACTGTGCTACAATGTGTCCTCCGGGTCTATATGGGCCGAGCTGCATGTCCACCTGCTCCTGCCACAACCACGCATCGTGCTCTCCATTCGATGGCTCCTGTATCTGCAGGGAAGGTACAGTATAATGGACTTATTGTAAAAGGTTAAGAGCACCTCCTGAGCTTTATTAGATATGCTACACTGACTGCACCTTTTACACCTTCACATCACTTACAGAGTTAGTACTGATCTTGTTGCGCTCTGTGCTTGAGAATGTATGGCTCAAATCATAGAGGATGTTGTTTTTGTATACATAATGACTTATGCACCGGCAAATTACCCTGCCCTTTAATAATACCCTGCTTGAAAAAATACATTGGAGTTCCCACTTGTAATATTAGTGCAAATTCCATTGTAATGGCTATACCTGTAACTTAAAGATAACCTACATTTGTTTCCTTTATTTAATCAAATAAGACCTGCTATTACTCTGTATATTAACAAAAATAGTTAGGTAGTTCGTTTTAGTAAACAATCTTTAAAGTCATCTTCTCTGCACAAATCATTTGGGAAAATGTAAAACACTTTTAAAAAAGGTGAAGGCCTCACTGCTGAAAGTTCAATTGTGTTTACACTTGCCAAAGAAACATACTTTTTTCACGGGCAGCCAAGTTTTTGTTTAAATTTGGCGACCAGCCCCTAAAAATGCTCCGAGGTCCACAGTTGATTTCCGACCTATAGACCCAAGCACAGGTCTTAATTTTGACCCGTTGTAGGCACTGCAGAAAAACTTCAAAGTCAGTAATCCTGTTATGAAGATGAATGTCTGTACAAACATTGGATTAAGCAATCCAGTGGTTGTTGAGATATTTCAGTGACCGAAGTGGTAAACCAACCATCTGACCAACATTTACCGGCCCGAATGCCATGCATTGCAACAAATGCATTTTATCAGAACGGAATAGTTTTTACCACTCATAGCAATTGATCATATCCCTTGAATTAGTCCCTTTCATGTATCTTAAATGCTGAAACCCCAGGCCGGGAACCACTGTACTGTACACTTCAAACTTTTGTTTTGTGTAATTCGAAGTGACTACATTTATGAATTGAATACAGCCAATTATAAAACTGTTCAATGTGTCTTTGCTCTCTCTAACCCCAGGCTGGCAGGGCGTGGACTGCTCGCTCCTCTGTTCCAGCGGTACGTGGGGTCTGGGCTGTAATCTGACATGCTTATGTGCCAATAGAGCTGCATGCGACCCTATAGACGGCATCTGCACATGTTCACCTGGGTGGAGAGGGGAGCACTGCGGCGAGTCCTGCCATGTAAGTCTCTCTTTTATCTTTGCTGCACCATTCAAGGCATGTCTTATTTTGCCCATATGTGAACTTTTAAAGGTATGACAATGAGTTGTTTTCATTGTCAGGATGGCACCTATGGGTTGGAGTGTCGTGAGCGCTGTGACTGCAGCCATGCTGACGGCTGTGATGCAGTGAGTGGATACTGTCGCTGCTATCCCGGCTGGACAGGTCAGTAATGCTTTAAAAAAACAAGGAACCAGAGCAGGCTGGGAATAAGGATGGAAATAACCTCTAAGATCAAAACTCTTTGTATTTGTCCCTATCATCAAATCAAAGACATCAGAAATAAACGTGCTTATGATCCAAAACAGGAGAATATACCGGGGCAATGGATTGAGTTTTACACTATGTTTACAGAATGTCTAAGCAGTGTTTTGTTAATTAAATGTTGAATTTGTTTTGCCACTGAGCCGACGGGTGTGTAAATGAAAAATTGAGAATGGAGCTCTAAATTAATTCTCTTGGATAACACTCTCCGTGCTGGTATGCATTCATGCTTATTGCATCCATTATTGGTTATACATCTGAAGTGACTCGCCGGATAAATATTTGGAGACAGAATCAAATCGTTGGCCCAGAGTCCTCTCATAAGTTTTAATCACGGCCTCTGATACTTTTATTTGTGGCTCTGCTAATTATTCAAAGTTCCTGGTTGTTGTGCAATCTGACTGAGCCAACTGCCATATTTATTAATTTGAGTGTTCGTTCTTTCCGAGTTGTCACAGATGTATTGAAAGTAGACCTCAGCTGGAAATGAAAACGTTATTGCAGCCAGTAGCAAATTACACAGACAGGAACACGGATACAAATGACACTTAAATGGATAAACATTAAAAAAGCAGAAAGCCTACTATTTGGTAAGCGGGGTTATTAACTGATAGTCTGGTTGCAAATAAGGTGCAAATAAATAAAGTGCACTGAGCTAGTGTGCAAAGAGCAAGGGTATAAATAATACGAATGGCAACAGAATAATATGCATCGGCGCCCTGTTTTAACTCTTTCCCCCTCTAGACACAAATTCTTACTTTTACATGTCGGCTCATTGTTTCTTGTCATTTCAAAACATTTGTTTACAGCGAAGGAGGTGGAAGTAGGAAAGTGTGAATGTCACAGCAAGGGTGAGGATCATTATGCTCAAAAATGAAGCGTCGCATCTGAATGTCAAATACAGGGGCTATCCGAGGACCGGGTCTCTGAGCCTGGGTGGAGAGGTGCAGTCAGGGAGGGAATAGATTCAGCAGGAAAAGGTCACGCCTGCGAGCTCTCCGCAGCCCCCTCCATTCAGCCTCTTGAGCTTAGGGCATTTATTCTGGGAAACAATGTGGGTTTTATTATCTGCAAGAGCGGTACCGGCAAAACGTTCCTCTCATGCTCTGAATCCTGCCCAGGTCGGACCATCTGTCAGCCTTAATTGAGTCACCGGGGTGCGTGGCTGGGGGCAGCATCTAGCCTATTGGGCCGGACAAACACACATGCATGCGCTCTTCAACCGTAGAGGCTTGACAATTGGCTCTCTGAAGGAAACAGCACCTAGAGAGAGGAAGATGTGGGTTTCATCTCAGGAGTCAGGGATGAAATAAAATGGCTATTTACAGAGACTGTGGAGTTGTTTTTCTCTTGTAAACACGGCCATATCACTGAGCACGCTAGCTCCAGAGCTGGTATTGCATCCTACTATGATGTCAAGTTGCTCTTTTTATTATAGTGTTTTTGCATAAAGCGACTCTAGATATGTGAGCGAGCAAGTCGTCTATAACCCACACAGTTGTTGCTGAACTGTCGTAAGTCTGACATCAGCCTACAAAGATGAGGAGTGCTGCGACTGGACACTCAATGAAGGGTCTTCAACCCAGTCCATGTTTAATAGATCCCAGGTAATGTGAGTGTGTGGAGAGAGAGAGAGAAGAGAGAGAGAGAGAGAGAGAGAGAGAGAGAGAGAGAGAGAGAGAGAGAGAGAGNCACACACACATATATATATATGTGTGTATCACACACATATATATATATATATTACTGAATATTACACAGTTGTAGCGATACTGTATACATTTGGAAGCAATGCTTCCAAATGTATACAGTATCGCTACAACTGTGTAATATTCAGTAATATATATATATATATGTGTGTGATACACACATATATATATATGTGTGTGTGATACACATATCACACACACATATGTGTGTGATACACACATACACATATGTGTGTGATACACATCACACACATATGTGTGTGATACACACATATGTGTGTGATACACACATATGTGTGTGATACACACATATGTGTGTGATACACATCACACACACACACACACACACACACACACACACACACACACACACACACACACACACACACACACACACACACACACACACACACACACACACACACACACACACACACACACACACACACACACAGA